TTAAAGAATAGAAAATAAAATTGACAAAGGAATAATAAAAAGGTAAGATATCTCATATTTTAATAATTATGAAGAATGTACAAAAAAAAGTAAAAATATAAGGGTTGATATGTGTCATCAATATTTTAAAATCAATATTCTAACATATAAATTTTATTTAACTTGTAATATATAATATTAGTAACAGATTTTAAATATATTTGATTTCAAAGAAAGAAACATGTGTATTATTTTTTCATAATTTCAAAGTTCTTGTTACCTATTTAATAGTAAAATAACTCTCGTATTATTTACATTTTTTTTCCATTTAAGTCTTTATACTTCTTCTGTTGTATATTGCTTTTTATATATTTTTTTTAAATTATTTTCCAATAAATACTTCCTTTAAGCAGTCATGTGGTGTGTACTTGACATATACTGATGATGCATAAATTCTTATCACTTAATCGTACACATTATCAATGGAAAGAAACAAATTTTCTATGCACTTTTTTGTTTCTCTCTTTTCTCTCTCCCTGCCCCCCAAATAATGTCAATGACTTCTTTCTTCCTTCTCTTCTCTACAACCGATCATCTTGTGGTTGTATCTTTTTTAAATACGACATGCTTAATATGACACGTGACCATATCCAATGCTTTCAAAGACTCGAAGATGAGTAACACTAAGTTTTCTCTTACTCTATGCTTTTTGTGGAGTTTGATTTTTGACATTTCTTATTGGAGACCTATTTAACAAATAAATTACACAAGAAATAACTTTTGCTCAAAATTCCTTAGGTATATTTAGATTTCAACATGTTTTTAGTTATATTAAGAATAATTCTATTTTTTTTCTTTCAGTTACACTATTTTCATATAAAGATCTAGAAATTGTTGGAGGTCGACAAATTCCATGTGATTCACATAATGCATGAAACTCCTTATATGTAAATTTGTCTCCTCTATTCGAACCTCAAGAATTTAATTTTTTAACCACTTTCATTTTTTACAAGAGCCTTGACGTTCTTAAATGCTTCACATGCCACTGATTTTTGTTTAAGAAAATAAACCCAAGTATTAATCCTCCAATGGTTCATCTTATCTCCTCTTGATCTTACCTTCATGGGCTTGTAAAGAGCCCTCTAATTATTCATGTCTCATTAAGCTATATCTTTAAACTCTTCAATGACAATACCATAATCAAATTTTGGAGTCAATGAACAAAGCATTTTTCCAATCATGCGAACATCTTTAATTTTTTCTCCATACCTCTTTATTTGATTCACAATTACTTTCACTCTTGTACAATAATCCAAAACCGATTTGGATTCTTTCATGTATACTGCTTTAAAATCACCTTGTAATAATTGAGATCACACATTCTTCACTATTTCAACTCCTTAAAAGAAACTTCGTAAAATTTTCCATGCTTCCTTTGTGGTGGTTGCATTGACCACCTTCTGAACATAGAATCATCTAAAGATTAATGGATAAGGGCGAGTGCTTGTTGATTTTTCTTCTTTATTTTTGCCAAAATATCCCTCATAGTTTGAGATAAAGATCTTTTATTTTAAGTTTAGACATAACTTTTTTCTACAACCTTCCATACATCTTGGGAGCAAAGTACAACTGTCACGCAAAGACACCAAGTTCCATAGTTCTCCTTTGTTAGAAAAGGAAACTGAAAGAAATATGCTCCAATATTACTTCCCATCTCTTGAAAATAAATTGAAACAAATTACTCTGACACCATTTTGTTAGATTGAATATAGGTTTCTAGGAATGAGAGTTGTATATTTCTTGTTTAATTTAGAAACTCAATTACAAAGGATAATATAGGTCGCATAGGTGCATACCATACATTGAACCCATACTATTAAATATAAATTAAAAATAATAACTACATAAACTAAAACTTGCAATGAATCTAAACATTCATGAATCCTTAAAATTCAAATTAATCTTCAGCATTTTTGGCATATAATCCATGTAATGCATGGCTGGTGAGTTGTTGTAAGGCATCGAGAGAGAAACGTTGTAACACCCCAACCCTTTCTTTTTTCCTTAATTTTTTTATTTTGCAATTATTATATGAATATAATGATTAATTATGTAATAATATATTGAATTTAATTTAGTTTAATTTATTTTAATAGAAATAATAATAATAATAATAAAAATGGGTAAAAATTATTTAGGAATTTAATTGAAAATAAATTTGGGAAAAATGGATGAATTTTTGGGTTCTGATGGTATTTTTGAAAGAAAAATTGAAAACTGGAGGTCAAAATGAAATTTAGAAAAATTGCACCACGTCAGCTGCCCGGTTAGCAGCCCTGGCCAACCAGGACGCGCCGCGTGGCAGAGACACTGACGCGGGAGGCCACGCAGAAGGGAGACACGTGGGTGATCTGCGTGCGCGCGATCGAACGGTTGAGATCCGTTTCCACGCTCACGGACGGTCCAGATCAAAAACGCGCATGGACGGCCCAGATTGCACGCGCACGGATGGCCCAGATTGAATCGCGCATGGATGACCCAAATTGCATCACGATGAAC